CACCCACCCACCCACGCGCACACCCATAGTAGAACAGAAGCCCATGCACAACAGAAACACTTGGACGGGGTCCACTATGTCCAGTTTTGGGGTTCTGAGCCTCGGCCTTGGACGATGGTCTCCATGTTGGGGTTTTGGCAGTGGACTTCCCTCACCAAGAAGGGCTTGTCGCGAGTGTTCCCATGTTCCAGGTTTCCTACACAAAGCCCTAGCCCAGTCCACAGTCTATGATTTCGATTTCTTGCCCTGCAGCTCTTCGTGTCCGAGGACTGCAACTTTGACAAAGGTCTGCAGCCTGTCAGGTGTGCCGGCGACAGGAAGATGGGCATCCAAAGCCGTCGTCCAGTCATGTTTCAACTGGCGACCGATGCCTGTCGATCGTCCCTGCCCGTGAGTGACTGGGGCCCCTGCCACGGAGCGACTTCAAGAAGGTGATGATTTGCACGATCATGCCATTGTCATTATGTTTCAGGCCTGGAAGTCAGGGCTAGAATCAGCAGTAGGTTATAGAATATATGTTATGTACATGTTCTTGTTGTTCCGTATCATTCCGTATTGTAATTTCGCATCCTTGACTTTCAAATCCGTGCAGTCCAGGAGTGCGGGGATCCCTGTGTACACTAGTTCGACGAACCCTGCGGAGGCTGCACCTTGGGGAAATCTTGGAAGTCACAGACCTCAAGTCTTAAGGCCTGATCGCACGCTTGGCCACGAACAGAGCAAGCCAAGAACCTGCATAAGAAGCCGAAGCCCTAAATCGTGAAGCCCAAAGCACAGGGTTCGCAAAACTGTGGCACGAGGCCAACGTCTGGCCACTGCTTAGACTGAGCTCTGGCTGCATGGCCGCTGCCAAGTAGGAGCCTTAGTGCAATCGCTCAAAACGACGATGTTCAGCGCAATACGTGCAAGTGTAGAGGTTGACGCGCTCCGGTGTGGCCGCATGCCAACCTGCATCCCTTTTCAAAGCGATTATGATTGCCTAGCTCGATAATAGAGGAGCGGCGTGACTATTGGCGCATACAGAGGGTTAATTGCCGTCACTTCAGTATCATGCTCATTGCTATTGCATGCCTCGTCATCACTATCCGCATCAACTTGCTTGGAGCCACTTTACATGTTGCCATGCCAGCTTGACTCTCAGCATCATCGTCGGTGCCGTGAGTATTTAGCGGCAATGCTGTGATTAAACCGGCCCCACCATCATCATCGTCATCTTTGTGAGCGGGATAAAGCGAGAACAGGCAGTGTGCCGGGGACTACGTGGTTGTGGCTTCATGTGGCATGTCCTCCGCACCTGGACCGTGAAACTGATGTTTCTGGTGGGTTGATATTTTGTTACCCAGGAGCTTGGACAGTGCCACTGAGTGGGGCTGGGGCTATGTGTGGATGCATGAAGTGATTGCAAACAAAGCGGATAGATGGGTGGGTAGACATAGGTATACTATACCATCAGAGGACAAAACACAGGTATCATAGGATTTAGATGCCGCGGCAGATTGCCAATGTCACCAGCGGTCGTGCAGCGCGTGTGCCCGACTCGGACGTGCCTTGACTCCTAACTTGCGTGTTAGAAAGCAAGCTCCGAGGGCTGGCCAGGCGGCCAGGCTCAGCAAACTTCCGGGCCCCTGAACTTCTCAGGGTCTGCTCTTCCATCGCTGCCGAAGGCAGCCTGCATGGAGCTTCTCTGAGTGGTCTCATGTGGTCAGAAATCGAAGCTGTGGGTGCATGCGTGGTATCTGCCTCGAGGTTGATATTCTTGTCTAGCAATGTCTTCGCAATTCATCCGAGTTCGTTGTTGCAGCATTGTGCCGGTTAGCGTGCGTCGCTATGTCAGTTTGGAAGTGAAGGGTGGTCGGCCTTCGCATCTTGCGTTTAAGATCTCTCGTAGAGGGAGCATGTACTGTAGACCATATAGAGCGGCTACAGCAAACCCAACCCCAAGGCCGAAGCTTGTGAATGCAGCACCGTTGATGCCGGCAAGCCTGAACCTGACTCAAGCATTAAGCTTCGTGAGTTAGTCAAATCCAGCTTTGTGTCCCTGCGATCCCGTATCCATGGGTTCCACAGTTGCCAGCCGCGTGTTGCTGCTCCTCTTGTGCCTGGCCGTCGGCGACGCGGTTCGCCATGACGTAGCGGGTGCTGCCCGGGAGTATGAGAAGCAAGAGCACGAGCGCATTGAGCACGAGCATGTCCAGGAAGGGACTGCTGCGGAGGTTGCCGGCTCCGAGCCAGAATGGGGGTCCTCATCCGATTGCAGCTGCACCTCCACTTCTACGTGCAAGAGTATCGGGCCGTATTGCTACTGTTCTAACAGGAAGTGTCACTGCTAGGGCCACCGTGTTCACGCAGCTTGCTTCTCTGAAGGAAAAAATGTCAGCACCTCCGCAGGTGACAATCTTTGCTCTCAGGGTCGAAACATCAAGGTTTCGTTTCTCCTGGCCGTTGCTGCATTATGCAATCTCATCGTTTCTGGCTCCAGTCTCTGCCGTGATCTAGGTAGACTCAACTGCCGACCGTACAATTCATGAGCGCACAGGGCAGATGAAGAGCCCTGTTTCATATCTCGCCTTCAACATGGCAGTGCCAGGAAGTTCAACGTTTAAGCTTCACCCGGCACGATGGCACCTTGCTTGTCCCGACAGGAGCGCGCCACATCCTAGCTTCCTTAGCGAGTGCTGTCGGTTCGTTTCCAGAACCCCTTGACCTTGATTGCCATGCCTGAGCTCAGCTGCCGGCACCTTGTAGACAGGTTGCACGACGGGGTTGCCGGGATGACAAGGGCTGTGGCTGTGAAACGGGGTTGAGGGTTTGAGGGATCACACTTGTGTGCTCACAAGGGCAGGTATTTGGGTTAGACTCCTTCTCTTTCAGGCGCTGTGAAGCTGGAATTCTGTTTGTCCGAGTTGAGGCTGCTACCTGTAAGAGCACCCGCGCGGGTGCACCGTGTTCTTTCGTCTCACTGTCCGACTGTCCGCAGAGTTGAGATGCTGTCTTCTTTGTCCTCGTGTCGTGTGCGATGCGCAAGCCCTGTGCCGCCCCGCAGCCGTTTCACTCCTTTGCACATCGTAATGAGTGTTGGTCAGTCAGCTCGGAAAATCTGTCAGCATGTTTGGGGTTGAATGTTATAAGTTTGATTGGACTCAGCTCGATTCGTTGCACTCGCGACTGGTTCGGTTTTGCATTCTGCGCAGAGGCAGTTCTCGCGGACAGGTCGCCCACCAATTTTAGGGCTTCCTGATCCATGGAACACATTGGATCGGCGAGAACCAGCGAAGTTCTGCGGCGTGTGATGGTGATTGCTGGAAGGCCCGCCAATGACCAAGCTAGGACTTGTCATGATGCTGATGCCATTGCGCTACTTTCGTGCTGTTGTGGTCGTCGTTCTGGTGGTTGTGTAGGTTGCATTAGTTGCTATTGTTCTTCTTGCTAGTCTTCTTCTGTCTGTTCTCCGGTTCTTGGTCTTGTTCTGGTTCTTGTGCTTCTTCCTGTTGGCCGCATCATCATCTGTTTTCTCGAAGCTGCTGGTATTGGTATTGGTGGTAATGGGTGCAATGGGGTGTTGCTGCTGTGCGTGGTGGTGGTCATGTTGGCAACAATGATCAGTTAATGTAAGGCCATGATGTCGGCCATGATGATAACTGCGGCCCTTACTCATCCCTTCCCCTATTTTGACACCCCGCCCCGCAATACCACACCACTACCACTGCCACTACCACTACCACGACCATATACCATAGCCACCACTAGCACTAGCACTAGCACTAGGACTAGGACTACGACTACGACAACGACAACGACAACGACAATGACTACTACTACTTCCACTGCTACTGCTGCTACGACGACAACAACAACAACTACTACTACTACTACGTCGTCTGCGACTGCACTACGACGACCACGACCACGACCACGACCACGACCACGACCACGACCACGACCACCACCACCACCACCACCACCACCACCATTTCCGCTACTACTGCTACGACTGGTGGTGCTGCTCCTGCTGCTGCTACTACTGCTGCTGCCTCTGCCACCGCCACTGCCCCCTGCCGCTGCCACCGCCACTGCCACTGCTACT